ACTTGTCATGGGAGACACAATGAGCCTTCTCTGACACTTGGCTAGCATGCACCTGCATCGTATGACTTCCTAGATTTAGCCGAAGAAAGCAGATAATGAAGGGGAATGTAGCAGTAGTTTCTTTAACTGCAGCAACCAGAATCCCCAAGCTAGGATGTTGTGGTCCAAAAAAAGTATTATTTCTGAGATCTGGGTCTGCAACATTCAGACATAAAAGAGCTGTTTAATACTGAGGCCAGAGTTTGTGTAGTGTACAGTCACATTGCTGGCAAAAATAACAACTAAGATACGAATAAATGCAAACATGTCCCAAACTTGATTATTGCCCAGGCACTGTATCAAGCTAATAATGTGGGAATAATTCCACTTGTGGGTACTATAGTAGAACTAGCAAATATCATGCTTGGATCTAGCACAGATCATGTGCTAGATAAAAACAGATCATAGGCATCCTTCAGTCTCGAGAGACTATGGTAACATGCTCTGAATTGAGGAGTGTCCTCTCCAGAGCATGAAGCCCGGGTAAGGTAATATGGAGGATAGGCTGTTACCCAAGCAGCAGATCCCCCCTCTCCACATTGCTGAAATGGTCCAATGGAAAGGCAAGAGCCAATACAACTGGTTCCAGCAATGTCGCAGGAGTTGGCAGAACGACACGAACTGCCTTCGGGACTCCAGCTCCGGATTTTGCCCCTAGGTTAACTCCTGTAGCCTTTTCCATGAGTGGATATAGCCACAAGGCAGTGGAAGTTTGAGATTGGAGTTTTCCTTCTCCTAGATGGGCTGCCTTCCATGGCTGACGAGCCCCACCAACCCGGCCTGCTCTTTAAGAGTGCAAAAGTATAATATGATCCTTAAAACTTTCCTGACTTCCCGGCTTATGCAAATCTAATTGGCTTTCCTTTTCTTAACTGCCTTTCTGCTGTGCATCACTGCAGATACCATGCAATCACACACACACACACATATGTACACTATATATTCATGAAGACTGTTACTTGTTAGTCAAGAGAACAAAGCAGTAGAGCTTGCTGTGCTAACAAAATTGGAATATTTATTTACTGCAGGGGTGCCTTTCAAGGAGCCCAAATGGCATGCTTAGTCCTTTCCTCACCATTCATTTCACAAAACAGCCTGTGAAAAAGCCTAGGTCATGAATGGCTGAGTGATTTAAGGTTTCTCTATGAGCTTCATGATGTCAGCTCTTTGGCAGTAAAGCCATTTCATGATTTGGCAGAATGCAAGGGAGGGCTCCCAAGACTCATTTGATGGGTAATTGCTCTTATCTCCCAAGGTCAAACCTGTAGAAACCTACAGGATAAACCTTCCTTTTATCCTCAAAATTATCATTCTGTTTCTTTGACCAGACCTCACAGGATTCTTTTTCCCCCCTCTCACAATAATTCAAGTTTAAATCAAAGACAGTTATACCACTTATGACTGAAGTGTTTAACACCTTCAGGAAAATGAAGCGCTTGTCACTGATTGTGTTCAGCCTCCTGCCACTGAAAGAACAAAGTGTTGCAACTTTGGCATACTGTCGGATCTCCTGTTGTACCAAGAATTTCCAGATTGCAAGGGGATGCTAGGAGTGATAGAAAGCTGCACTGAATTTCCTGGCAGGATTTGCATCCTATGTCCATTATATCTGTGCAGCCTCAAGACAACTACTATGTGCTTGTGCATGACTGCGACAGCTAACGGCTTTCATGCAGGTGACAGGACACAGTATTTAGTAGCTCACCTCCCAGGTAGCACTTTAAACTGCTTTCCTGCAAAACAAATAAAAGTGCTAATTATAATTTTTTTTTAAAAAATTATTATACTGTGGAAAAAATACGCAGTCATCATTCCTTATCTTCCAACACTGGGGTACTAATCAAGAACACACTTGTGCACTCGAAAGCTAAATCTACACATTGTTTCCCTGTGGACTCTGTCTTTCTCTGGAAGTAAAATGGCAAACCAAAGCAGTTTGACTCATGCCAGCCTAACAGACTGCAAAGGAACCCATACTGAAGGGCAGGTGATCTCAGATTTCCTATAATAGTTTCCAAAAACACAGCAACTAGGTTTTCAGAAATGTACTTAAAACAACCTGCTTTAAAAATCATATACAACCCTCTCCTCATCTGATCTATTTGTTCTAATTCTCTCCTTCCCTAATTTAAACAGCATGTGCTTCATGGTTAGCAATCTAGATTGGAAATCTAACTTTCTTTGGAATGGAGTTCTTCTCTTCTGAGACCTGACAATGTTCCAGTTTCTCCAAATTTAATGTGGATGGATCATCACCTAGACAAAAGTTCTCCATAGGCAGATGAATGCATTACTGTCATACAGTAACAGACTGCCTGCCAGACTGCCAGACTGCGAATTGGAGGTGTAGCCTGCAAAACTGTTAATAACCGATGCCTCTACTAATCTGGCTCTCTCTTTGTTTCCAACTGTTTCAACAGAAGTAAGGTCAGATGCCATTTTATTAAAATAAATGTTCAGATACTAACATACATGAAGGTGAATTTTTACATTCACACACCATGCTAATTCCATTCATCATGCTCTGCACCGTATACACAGGTGCACGTAGATGTTGTTTTCATTCAAAATAGCAAAGTGGTCCTGTTCAGTAACATAATATTGTGATACCAGAAACAAGTGTTTCGCAAATGCCTCTACTGAACACACATACTATAACTAAGAGGATTCAGTAATACAATGTAAGTAATTACTCTACTAGCCACAAGGTGGGAGATTTTATTTGTGAAAAATATATAGTGTGTTCGGATAGGAATAAGGGAGGTACAAAAAGTTCTCTTCTGTGTCAAATGTAACACACAATGGCTGAAATCCAGTTGGTGTAACTTTATGCCATGCAACAAGGATGATGTCATTATACGGCAATTATACTGTTTATTTTAATTGAATTTAAAATTCCTATCCCACCACCACCCCTTTCAGGTGTCTCCCATAAGCATTTCCCTCAACATTCAGTGCCATTGTAATCAGCTGAAGTAGACAACTGGCATGGTTCAGCAGACCTCATAGTAGATTTGATCCTTAAAGCTCAAATTTCAAACCATGCTAAGTAACAGACTATGAAACAAGAAAATAGTGAAGTATAATATACCATTTTCACAATGAATTATAAGGTTATAAAATGGGGTGCACATTTAAAATGTTGTAATTGCAAAAACGTGTTTTATTTTAGCTGTTCTGGTGACATCACCTGTACATTTCTAACTTTCTACTGGAAGGAAGACATCAGGAATTACAAAGAATATAAACCAAACTTTATCTCAAAGCTATGGAGACACTACAATATTTGTAGGTAAAGGTAAAGGTTCCCCTTAACAATTTTTGTCCAGTTGTGTTTGACTCTAGGGGGCAGTGCTCATCCCCATTTCTAAGCCATAGAGCCAGCGTTTTGTCTGAAGACAATCTTCCGTGGTCACACAGCCAGTGCGACTTAGACACGGAACGCTGTTACCTTCCCACCGAGGTGGTCCCTATTTATCTACTTGCATTTGCATGCTTTCGAACTGCTAGGTTGGCGGGAGCTGGGACAAGCAATGGGAGCTCACTCCGTCGCGTGGATTTGATCTTACGACTGCTGGTCTTCTGACCCTGCAGCACAGGTTTCTGCAGTTTAGCCCACAGCGCCACCACGTCCCTATCTTTTTAGTAAATAATTAATCTGTATATACTAATTTGTGTAGGTTTATATGCAAGGGGCACTCAGTAAACCATGTACAGTATCATCAAATAATAAGTAGAACTCAATAGATAGGTACTCTCCGCATGTTGTGCTACAAAATATAGTTTACTAATGTGATCCATTTACATTTTTTTCATCTCCGAACAAGCTTGCAAAAATAAACCTGTGAATATGTTAGTGTGTCTTGAAATGAGACAAATAACCATTTTTAATTTTCACGTTATCTCTTATGCAATTTTATAATAATAGCATCCACACATGCATTATATTGGTGAAAATGAGACTGTACCACAGGTGGCTAATGACCAAAGTAGAGGATGACCACTGCCACAGTACAAGCTGTCCTCCATACTGTGTAGATATGCTAAGTGATCTGATAACATGTCTTGTCAAGGTTGTCACAGACTTTAAAATGTACCTTCTTTATGGACCAGCTGAACTCTTGATCATTGATCAGTTGTAGGGTGAGAGATTCTCTCACTGATTTGCAAAGTGTGTTGAGATTTGCACATGACAAAAAAAAAGACTCTTGATCATTGATCAGTTGTAGGGTGAAAGATTCTCTCACTGATTTGCAAAATGTGTTGAGATTTGCACATGACAAAAAAAGTAGACATTTGAATTTTACATCATTCAGCCTGAATTTTACTTGACTTTGCAAATAAACCTCTTCTGGTACAAAACACGGCTTTCCCCTCCTCTCAAGCTGTCCTAATAAAATAAGATCTACAGTGATGCTTAACTTGCTGGTGGCTTTCACATGACTGAAGAGGCTAGGAGCTTTTATCCATATCCATATAAATCAGCTGCTGTGGCAGGAAATGGGTAGCCCTCTATCTAACACAGGATGGATATGACACAGCACATACTTTTGCTCATAGTTGACATTAACCCACAAACTTTCAGAACTCAATTAGGAACCAACTTTGTTACTGAAGTTAAAGCCCAGAAGATGTAGTGTAAATGTGACCACCCTTTGACTTCCATGACTAGCAGACCCACTTGATCAGATGCTGAAGTTCACAAAAGCTTGTGTCACAGCAAAGGCTGCAATCTTCGGAATTTTCTGGGACCTCAAATGAACTCAATGGGACTTACTTTTGAACAAACATCTGTACAGTAAATCCAGCTGGAGTTTAAGATGCCACCAGACAGGGTGTAGGGAGATACCTTGTGAGAGAAAAGACAGGAGGCCATATACATACTGATCTCTATTTCAAGGGGTGACTGAAACCAGACTCCTGATTGCACCAACACAAGAAAGTTAACCTCTCTTTCTCACCTCCCAGTGATGAACTGACTTCTGGACGGCGTGCACATGGGCTGGACGTAGTAGTTCTCCAGCTTAACCCCTTCCGCAGCCAGCCGGTCCAGCGTGGGAGTCCTGATCTCCGAGCCATGGTAGCCCACGTCTCGGAAGCCCTGGTCGTCCGCCAGGATGAAGATGAGGTGCGGCTGGGAGACGGTGGGCGACGGCTCCGGTCCTTCTCCCAAGTCTTCCCTCCTCCTCGAGCGGTCTGGATCGCCCACCGCGTCCCACGCCGGGTAGCCGTAGGTGAGGAGGCTGAGCACGGAGACGCCGGCCAGCAACCCCCCGGTTAGCATTTTCTTTCGGCAGAGCCGCCGGGTCGAGCGCTAGCCGCTTTCCCCCCCTTGCCCCTCCGCCTGGAAGAGGGTTTAGGAATCAAGGGGGTCCCCTTCCGCAGAAGCGGCGAAGGGATGGCGAGCCCATGACAGGGCGCCACCCTAGGCGAGGTCGGCCGGAGCAGCGTCCCGCCCTGGGCGAAGGGGCGTCGGGGGTGGGCCAGGCGGCGGCGCTTTCAAAGCATCCCCGGCCCGTCGGGTAACCTCCAGCCGGCCAAGATGACCTCCTCCTGCTCCATCCTAACCCTGGCCTGCCTCCTCGCAGACAAACTCTTGGTTATAAGCGTTCAACCCCCGTGAGGGGGACGCGGGTTAACTCTGCAGCGCGCCTCGCCGACCTCGCCTCCCCACAGCGAGACCCGTCCCAGAAAAGTCCCCCCGTTTTCCTGAAGGGCGGGAAGGCGGCGGCGGCGGTGGCAGAGGGAGAGAAGGGCTCCGTCTCCCCTGGCCGCCTGAGCGCCGGCAAGCCACTCTCGCTTCGCTTTCCTTCTTCCCTCCCGCCTCTCTTTCTTCCCACCCATCTCTGGCGAGCAAAGCCAAACAAAACGCCCGCCTGCCAGCCCGCCCGCCACGGTCCGCGCGCTTACACGCGCGCGCTCTTCTCCTCTGGAAAGGGCCGGCGAGGGAAAAAAAGGCTGGGCCAGCGCCGAAGGTCGGAGGCAGAGACCGAGGAGGTGAGGGAGAAGGAGTGGCGGGGGTCGGCTGCCTTTCCTTCCGTTATTCTCACTGCTTCTGTGGCCGCCGCTTGCCTCTTGGAGGGGGACTAACCCCCCCGACGCCAATTTCAAGAATCCAGGGAATCAGCCTTAGCATATGCAAAGTCACGAGTGCCTCTGAGAACGTGAAGAGTGAACCCCTCACCTTTCCCTGCCTTGCCTTCGAACGCACTTCTGAGGAGCAGCAAGGTTTCAGATCTGGAAGTTTGGCTTCTGAGAGAGAGGGCTTGAAATAAATTCTGTCCTGGATCCAGAGCTCCAGTTCTGGAATACATGACCTGGTAGCAGAAGGTGTGGTTTGTACGAGTGTCTTCCAGAGCGTTCTAGTCCGAATCCAAGCTCACATGAGCAGCAGGTCGGTTTGAATCCAAAGCATTAAAATAAAATAAAACAAGCAGCATCAGTTTTTCTCATTCCAGCCCTCATATTTCCAAACTTCTGCTCAGGCATGCCAAAGGGAAGGGTGAATTCCTGTCAGGAAAACATAATTACTTATTTATTAAAAGAAAAAAAAGTTGGGTTGTTCACAAAGAAAAGTTAAAATCATGAAATAAAATACAGTAAATACACAGTTTGAAAAGTTGTTTGCATGGATAACTGAAACAGTATTATGTCACCCACCCATCAAGAAATGTTCTCTGAGTAATTCACAAATATAAATTAAAATTATGAAGTGTGAAATGTACAGTTGAAAACACAGATACACATCTAAAATGTTTAAAGCCAGCAAGAGAAAAAAAGAACGAAGACCATTTTAAAATATCAGTACAGTGGCCACCTTCTAGTCCCATAAAAACAGACCATGTACACAACTTTCAGGCCACTCCATGCCCAAGCTGCCACCATTGAAAAGGCCCTCTCACTAGCAGCTGCCCACCTCACTTCATTTTGTAGCGCACAAAGAAAATAGCTGGTTGGGTAGCTCAGTAAATTGGGTACGTGTTTGTGGAGCTAGGGCTTTGTGGGGACAGCCAGTCTTTGTAGCCTTGGGTAAGTTGTGCTATACAACTCTCAGAAGAAGGGAACAATTTCATAGGCAAAATGTATCTCTCCTCTTCTTGGGCAGTGTCTCCCAGACTGGCATCTCTCCTCTTCTTGGGCAGTGTCTCCCATGACCCTCACCGTTGGCCAGACTGGGAAGGGCTGAGAGCAGTTTAATCACACCTGGAGAGCTGAACTTTACCTGTGTCAGTCTCAGGGTATGGATGGGGGGGAGGAGACATTTCTTTAAATTAAAGAACAAACATAGTATTATTGCAACTACTGATCCCATTTAATCTTGTTCTGTTTTGAATCATTTTCAAAGGCAGGAACTCATGTAATGCATTGTGGTAATTTAACTGGGAGGTTATCAGAGCGCAGATCAGTATAGCTATGCTGTATCTATCCAGATGGGGTTGCAGTTCATGTATTGATCTAAGCTTCTTTATTCATGTTGGAAGCAATCCAATGGTGTATCTGGAGTGGAAGGATCAGCCAAGATTCTTCCATGTCCATCATCAATCTAAGCTGACAAAAGGCCACTTATAACTACCTATGTTGGTTGGGGATGTTATTCCATAAAAGCAACTTTTCTGGTTTATAGCAGGGCTGCACAATGTTTTTGACCATGAAGACTAGGTGAGTTTTTGACATAACAGACACAGAGCACATTAGACTTTGGAACAGTGCTTCCCAACCTTGGGTCCTCAGTTGTTCTTGGATTACAACTCCCAGAAATCTTGGCCAGCTCAACTAGTGGTGAAGACTTCTGGAAGTTTTAGTCCAATAACATGTGGGGACCCATGGCTGGTCCTCAACCTTGGGCCTCCAGATGTTTTTGGACTTCAACTCCCAGCAATCCTGGCCAGCAGAGATGGTGGTGAACGCTTCTGGGAGTTGTACTCCAAGAACATCTGGAGGCCCAAGGTTGAGGACCACTGCTCTAGAGGAACAGGATAAACCAAATCCAACTTCGGGTGAAATAGATAGTCCTACATTTCTTTCAAAACACTTAGGCTAAAGGGCACAAACATGCAGAACTGGGGGAAAAGAATGTGGTTCAGGAAAATCAAGAAAATGACATAACTAGCAGTCCAGGAGATTGGAAATACCCCATCTCAGTGGAAGGTTAATGATGAACATAGAAACTGGATCATAATACTGAAAAAAGAGTAATAATAATTTAACAGTGTGCCACCTATACCTTCAGAGACAGGGCTGGATGCAATAGCATTCAACAAACAAACTATGCACCTGCTGTTTTGGAGGGAGCTCAGTCCCCTCCAAAATTGGCAAATGCTGCTCAACTGGTGAGACAAATGACAAATCATAATACTGGGAAGGGCAGATCTATGAAGATCACTTTCTCTCACCTTAAAAATGAGCTGAAACAAAACTTTCCTCCATTCCTAACTAGGACCTCCTTCTTCTTCAGAAAAGTCTGCATTTATCGGCCCTCATACACTCCATTACTGTGTGCAAGCAGTGGTTCAGAACATCTGCCTCACCTGAAGAAGCAAAGCTGAGTAATTTATGTCTTGGTGGTACATTAGTCCACGTACAGTATGTAGAGAATCCCATCTAATAATTTCATGATGTGGAAGTTAAACAATAGAAAATAGAGCAGCGTGGAACTCTGTGGAGCTACTAATAATCTGTGCAGTAATCCCTCAGAATCAATTGTCAAAGATTAGTATCACTGCAATATGGTTCTAATCCCCAAACTAGAGAGCAACTACACTTGCAAATAACACAGAAAATGCTCAGGAATTGGAATCAGATTCACATTGATTTCCATTGACCATACAATATACAAGTCAGTCTGACGTTTCTTCTCCCTAATCTGGACTTTTTCCCTCCAACATTGTACCTTTTGGAATTGAATGTGTTTGCATCAGTTCAGGCGATGTGATTGCTTGAGCTGATATGGAGGGGTTTGTAGCTATTCTGTTTCAAGCCATTTGAACTGGCTATTGCAGCACTGGGACAGGCAGGGTGGGGGAAACCTGACTTCCATTTGAATTCTCTCCTCCCTGCATCTGGTGCCTGAGTCTGCTTGTTTCTTCTCCCATTCTGTTTCTTTCATTTTTCCCCCCTTTCCTCCCTTTTAAAGGCTTGCTGCCCTAAGGCTAGGCCAGTTAAGCGACCAAAGAGAAAGAAAAAGGGAATTGGCAGAGAAGTTTTCAGTCACCCTTGTTTCCAAGTTAACAAGCTGGGAACAAGGCTGATTGACAGGATTTATGGCTTTTTTCTTTCTTTCTCTCTCCTTGGTCATTAGCAGTTTGAACACTAGAGTAAGAAGGCTGATTGACAGGATTTATGGCTTTTTCTCTTTCTCTCTCCTTGGTCATTAGCAGTTCGAACACTAGAGTAGCAGGCCTTTAAAAGAAAAAGAAAGAAAGAAAGAAAGAAAGAAAGAAAGAAAGAAAGAAAGAAAGAAAGAAAGAAAGAAAGAAAGAAAGAAAGAAAGAAATGGAAGGGAACCGGAAGGAAGAGGCAAACTACCAGACCCAGGCATGAGTTGTGGGGAGGAGAGAATTCAAATTTTTAACAAACTGCAAACAAGGCTGAATGACATTTTTCTCCTCTTTTTCTGGTGATTTCTGTGTGCTGGTCTGAAGTGAATTGATCTAGAGAAACCTGCTTTCCTAGATGTGGCTTCACAGTGGATCCTTTCACATTTTCCCCCACTGTGTAGTTGCACCCTCAGGACAGACTATCCAGAATGATACCATGTGGACGTGGTATACAAGATGACATTTTAAAGTTAAAATCATTTTTAATGTTTAACTGTGTTTACTTATTCAATTATATTTTAATTAGTGTATAGTTTAAATGTTTTTAATGTTTAATTTATCTTTTTAGTTCTGTACTTTTAATATTGTGAGCTGTCTAGAGTCCCCATACCAGGAAAAAGGTGGCCTATAAATAAAACAAAGAAAGAAATAAACAAATCTTGGCATGTTCAGTTTTCTGAGAAGGGTAAAAAACCTGCATCTGCTAAGCTTCCCTCTACACAGCTCTGTGTAGTGTGTGAGTGGCCACCCTCTAAAGAGAATGTCATAAATAAAATGCACAGTTGGAATAAATGGTTGCAATCAATCTTTTAAACCAATGGTGGTAGTGGAAACGCAAGACAGCAAGAAACTATAGAAACACTTAAAACTGTGCAGAACAAGAGGAATTAATATCTGTTTTATTTTTAAGTAAGTTACAAGGAATCTGGAGTGTGTGTGGAAGGGGGGGGTGATGAACCAGAATGATGTAGGGAAATATGTCTGGAAATGGATTCTTTTAAACCCAGCTCAACAATGTATAGATACAAACAAAGAACACCATAAAGAATGCAGGAACACTCCAAAGGAAATCAGACTACAAATATTTTTGTTTTATATATATATATATAAACATTCTGCCAATGCTCTGTGTAGTATGTTCTGGGAAAAGAAAGGAGAGGAATCAGCTTCTACCACATCACATTAATGTACGCTGACTAGGATCCAGTCTATGGGGCACCTTAACCTGAATCTAACCCTTATGTTCAGTGGACCTCACTGAATTAAGGGATGCTGTCTTACTATGACTTTTGAAAAGAACAAAAATAAATGTGAGTAACCATGGGTGGAGAAAACCATGCAAAACTATATGAAAATTTGGTTGTATTTATTTATAGGCCGCCTTTCTCCCAAAAAGAAAGGGTGTATATATAAGCTGCTTTTCTCCTA